AACAAGGAGGTGACGGCGCAGGTAGGAGGGAGGGGAGGGGAGGGAAGGGGAGGCGGGGTTGGGGAGGGTTGGAGCGTGGAGGGGAGGGTTGGGGAGGGGACGGTTGGGGAGGGGAAGAGGAAAGGGGAGAAAAGGGGAAGAGGGGAGGGGATTGTGCGTGCATGCGTGCTCGCGCGTGCTTGTGTGCATTTGTATGTGTGCTTCGGCGAGTTATGCGGGTTGGGAGGGGGGTATCCACGGCGTCTCCTCCGAAACGGCTTCCCATCGCCCAGATCTCATGTGCTATTCGGGTTCATACCCCTCAATGCCGGGGGCCGCATCCTCCTTCCACACCCTTTTTGGACGATACCCTCCTCAATCCGCCTTCCCTTCCACGTTTCTCTCACCGCCTCTTTCATCCCCCCGTCTTTCTTTCTCCCCCCCTCCACCCTCCACCCCCCAACATAGATGGTTGTGTGGACCTCTGGCTTCGTGTTGATGAGTCTGGTGGTGAACGCGCCCTTGTTGACCCCCCTCATGACCTTACTCAGACTCAACACCACCTCGCCAATAAAACAACTGGTGAGGGGAGGGGGAGGAGGGAGGGGAGGGTGGGGAGGAAGAGGAGGGAGGAGGGGTTTGGAAACCGCCGACCCCGCCATACGACCGCTGTCCGATGCCGCCTGCCCTCTCCTTCATCCCCCTACTATAATCGGCATTTTAAGTCCTTTGCTCCCCACCCCCCAAGTCTAATTCCCCCCAACCCCTTCCCCCCTTTAACTGGGGCTGCCATCCGTGCTTTGGACTCCTGCAGCAGCGGGCGATTGGGACGTACTTGTGTCGAGTGGATCCTGGATCCAGATGCTTCCTCCCGCATGTATGACCCCCCCCGCCACCCCTCCAGTAGTTGGGGCCCCTCGTGATTCTTGCGGCTGGCTCCCTCCCCTCTCCCTCCCCCTCCCCCTCCCCTCGGGGCTGCCCCCTCAGGTTCGTGCGCGCGCCAAGGCCGCCCTGCGCCGCTTCACCGCCAACGCCCTGAGCGAGATGAAGGCGGCTGCTGAGCTGGCTGACGGCGCTGACGGCAGCGGCGGTCTGGACATGAGCCTAATGCTGCTGAGGGGGGTGGACTGGGCGGCGGTGGAGAGGGCGGTCGACCTCACCAAAAAACTGGACGCCGTGTTTCCCGGTGGGTGGCTGGCTGTGTGGGTATTGGGTGGGTGGCTGGGTAGTGGGTAGTGGGGTGGAATGAGAGGTATCGTTGGGCCGCAGTTGTTTTAGCTTTATGTTGTAATTTTTGCATTCCGCTGCGCTGCACATCATATCATTCGCCCCGTAAAACCCCACACACGCACCACTAACCCGCAGGTGCTCCAGCCACTCCGTCCGCCGTCACCGCCGCCGCCACCTCGACTGCTCCAGCCGCAGCTACTGCCCCGCGAATTCAGATCCCCGCCACAACTGTCGGCTCCACCAAGACCTCCCCTGGAGCGCGGCGCCGCAGCGGCGCAGCCGCTGCGGCCGCCGCCATAACCACCCCGCGGCGGCGACGCGTCGGCCGGTCCGCCGCCTCCGCCGGCCTCTTGGAGCCCCTCATCCAGCGGGAGGACAGTCTCAGGCGGCGGAGCGGCAGCTTCAGCCTGAAGAAAGATGTACGGCTGCGGCTGGAGAGGGCCGCGTCGGCGGGCAGTAGTCGGGAGGTCGCCGCCGTGCCGGCTTCACGTGAACAAAGCTTGGTACGCTTCGAGGACGCCGTGGCGGCGGCGGCACCGTTGACGACGGCATCGAATACAGTGACGGCGCTGGCGGGTGGAAGCGTTGGTACGGCAGCGGCTCCGGTGATAGCGGCGACGGTGGCTTGTGGCGGCGGCGGCGGCGGCGGGGGAGGCGCTGCAGCCACCACAGGCCGTAGCCCTGGCCTGCTCAGCGTGTTCGGACTCCCGGGTGCCGCTGATGCCGCCGCTGCCGCCATCGCCGCTGCCACCGGTAGCGGCGGCGGCGGTACTGGAGCTTTGGGACCCTCAGTGAAAGACTGCGGCGGCGACGGGCGGTACACCGTCGGCCCCGCCGCTGTCGTGTTGCAGCAACCCCACCATCACCAGCCTCAGCGGCAAATGGTGCCACCGCGCAGCGCCGTACAGCTGGGACCAATAGCGGCGGCCGCTGCCGTGACGGCGCCGCAGCAGCCGTCCGCGGAGGCTTCCGAACAGCTCGCCGGAGGACTGGAGCGTCGACGGCCGTCGAGCCAGGGCACTGACGCCGCCGCCGCGTGCAGCGGTGGCGGCGTGGCGACGGCGGCGGTTGGTCAGGAAGCCTCTTTGGAATTGGAGGGACTCGAAGCTGATGGTCTGCGTTGCAGCGGTATTGCCAGCTCTAGCGTCAGTGCCAGTGCCAGCGGCGGTGGGGGCGGGGGCGGCGGGGGCGGCGGTGGCACGATGGGACCCATCGGCGGCGGTGTTAGCGGCAGGAGCTCGCTGCGGAGGCCGTTAACGCCAACAGCAGCAGCAGCGGCGGTGGCGGCGGCGGAGGCCCGTGACCGACATCGCTCGTCCTTGTTGGACGAGCAGTTTGCGGCGCTTCAGGTTAGTTGTTGGTTAGTTAGTTACGTTGATTGTTGCACGGGTTGTGTGTTTGCGCGGGGCCACGAAGATCAGAGTGATGTGGATGAAGGCTCCCCTAACCTACCTGCCCTGACTGGCCGTCTCTTGACGCACGAGGCCGAAGCGACCGGGCCACAACTCGGGCTGGTTGTGCCCCCCCTACCCTTTTCTTTACCGCGTGCAGCTTTCCGACGCGTCCGGGCTGTTGGAATGCCCGTTCGCCTCCTACGCCGCTGCCTCCGAGGGCCCCCGCCGGGCCCCCAGAGAGAGCTCCTCCACCGCCGCAACCAACTCACCCAGGCCATCTGCAGTGGGGTACCTGGCGGGGCCGGCGACGGCAGTAGCGGCATCGCCGCCGCAGCCGACGTGGCTACCCTTGGCGGCGGCCGCCGGGATGCCGCTACCGGCGGGCCGCCGCAGGGAGGGATCTCCGGTGGCGCTGTCGCCGCCGGAGATGGCCGTTGGCGGCGGCGGCGCCGCCGCGGGCTGGGGCCTGACGGCACCGGCGCTGAAGTTGTCGCGCCTGACGCGCAGCCCGCCGGCCCGTGGAGGCTTCCTCGGGGCAGGCGGTGGCGGCGACGGCGCCGTCACCCTTACCGTTGATTTGGAAACGGCCTCCGCCGGCGGCGGTGACGCCAGCGACCGGGGCAACGTCACCCCAGCGGATTGGACCCCGCAGCAGACTCCGCCGCCTCGAGGAGACGCACCCGCCGGACCACCTGTCTCGGAGCTACTGCTGTCAGAGCAGCAACAGCCGCAGCCGCAGCCGCAGCCGCCGCACGACGTGTACGGCAGCATCGGCATCGGCTTGTTTGGGGATAGCGCCACATCCGCGGCCGCGGGTTCGGATGGGGATGGCGATGTTGACGTGTGTGACGGCGTTGCGTTTACGTTCGCTGGCCACTTGGGGCCTATGGACTCCTCCCCCGTGGACAGCCCTCAGTCGCCCTCGT